GAGGGGGAGGGGGCAGGGGCGCAGCGGCAGCGTTCCAACTTTGAAATGTACAAGAGTCCCCGCTGGGGCTCTTGTACATTTCAAAGCAGTAGCACCTGCATGGAGCCCAGGGTCAGCGGGGGGATTCCCCGCTGGCCCCGGGCTCTACGCAGCGTGTCAATCTTTGAAATGCACAAGAGCCCCAGCGGGAACACTCGTACATTTCAAAGGCAGAACATCCCGCTAGTCCTCATCAACTAATCAAACAGTCAATGGAAATCCCACCAACTATTTGATTAGTTAATTCATTGAAATTTAACATTCCTAGAATCATGCTAGAGGTGCAGCCTTCGATCCCAATGTTACATCCACAGGGCTACTGATTCTTCAGCCAGGCTGAGACACAGAGCTGGAGATGAAAGGGTTATCTGGATTGCTTGCTTTGGCTGAGGGTAGTAGGGAGTGTTGCAAGAGGTAGGAGTTCCCCTCTCCCTCTGTTTCACCAGGAAGCTCAGACAGCAGCGGGCCCTTCGTGTGCTCTCACCTTTCTGAGGCTGAGCCAGCAGCTGTCAAACTAAAATGTTCCGGGAAGCTACAAGGTGGAATCTCCCAACTCAGAGACAGGCCAGTCCCTGGAACAGGCCTGTCGGACGCAGCAGTGAGTAGCGAAAGGTGTGTGAACAGAACTGTTTCACAAGAGTGGTTTCCAATTGCTGTCGTAGCACAGAACTAAGATAGGAGCCTGCATCTTGAAAATGCATAATTCTCTGCTCTCTGTCTGCTGCATCTCCCATTTTAGAAGAGGTTTAAATTTCCTGTGCTAAACATGGGTAAGTCTCACATTGTAGCCTCTAAAGATTCAGCCCGAGACCAGTAAAAGCATCTAAAAAATTGTGGCCATGGAGGGGACATGGTTGCAGCATGGAGAGGTGCAGAGGCACACAGTTCACACTGGGTGGAGATGAAGATCTGGGCCTCCATAGATTTACAAACCAGAAGGGACCAGTGTGCTCATGTATCTGATCTCCTGTAGAGCACGGACCAGAGAGCTGCCTGTAATAATTCCCCAACAGATCTGCTGGGAAAACAACCAGCCTCAATTCCAAAGTCACCTGGGGTGAAGAACCCACCACAACCCAGAGTGAATTGTTTCAATGGTTCATTACCGTCACTGTTCATTAGGAGGGTCCCGCCCCACCCCTATGAGTTTGGATTGCCCTTTCCTGGGGCAGGATCAGAGCCACACAGGGAAGGCCTGTGTGCAGCAGGCACGCTGCTAATGTACTGCAAACCTGCAAGACCGCGGAGCTCTGAAATGGACGAGAAGTCTGAACAGGCTAAGCTTTGTCAGTGTCCAGCAGGGGACAGGAAGCCGTGCCAGCACGCAAGAGGGTCGTCAGCGTTATTTGCCCTTTACTTGCGAGGCTGCAGAGCAAAGAGTTTACTTTTCCCACCTGGCTGCACGCCCTAAAATACCCATTTCCACTACATCACTGCTGGGCGCACGGGGAAAAAAAGCTTCCCGCATTTCCAGGCAGTACAAGCAATTCCAGCGAAACAAAGGCCAGCATCCATTCTGTGTGTATGATCAACAAGGGAGCACACCACAGTTGGGTTTGGCTGGAGCGTAACGCTTCGCTTTGTGCAGCCCCTGAGAGTCAGACAGGTGCTACACACAAAGCCAGGCTCCTTCAGATGGCACAAGGCCGAGAACGGGGATGTTACGTTTCCCTGAACTGAAGGAACCGGTGAGGTCTTTCATTCTACTTGCGATTTGATTAGCGCGTCTTAGAGTCCAGCCAGCTCGGCCTCTCCCAGACCAAACCCAAGGCACGCAGAGAACATGGTACCTTCCCCAGATGGCATGGGACCGAAGCCAGGTGCTAGGGGTGGCTTCCAGCCCGTACATCACAGCGTCCCCATAGTCCACAAACGGCCTTTGATACCTGAAGGGAGAGAGGAAGGTGACAATTACTTCCTAGTTTCAGCGGCACCCACAGTGGTAATAACATGAGATTGCTGCTATTAGATGCCAGTCTGAAGAGGTTTCAGACTGGCAATTGCCAGGCCAGTGGTCCCCAATCTTTTAATAGTGCCCCCTGCAACTCCAGAGGGACCACAGTTGAGAGCAGGGCCGCAAACAAGAGCTTAACAGGAGCCAGGCTGAGAACGGGAGCAGAGCCGTGGTTGGGACCCACAGCAGGAGCCAAGTGCTGGGGCCAGGGCTACAAGTGGAGATGTGGCCAGGAGTTGGGGCTGTAGCCAGTGTTCCCTCTACGTTTTTTTTTTCCCCATGTGTGTGTGGAATAAATTTTGTTCTATGCACCAAGGCATGTGTGGATGTGCACCACCAATAGAAACACAGGCTGCTTGCTATGAACACTGTGGATGCTCTGCTAATCAGCTGGGCAGCATTTGAATCTTCCCTGGGTGGCTGCCCAGGGAACACGGACTGTAGCTGGGGGCAGAGTGGGGCTGGTTGGCACTTCTGTGGGGTCTGGCCCAGGCCACTAAATATCTCCATCATACTCCTCTACTGACCGCAGGTACTATACAATGGAGATGGAAGTTTCAGAAGCTTGTGTAATGACAAGCATTAGCTCCACACTATCTGCTCAGTGGAAGATGGGACTCAAGACAACAGACAAGGAGGGTTCCTGCCCACACCTCACAGAGCAATCAGGGAGACAATCCCCAAATCGATCAGGCCACGTGACGTTCAAGGGGCGTCCTCCGTTTTCTGGTTCATCCTTTAATACTTTACCCTGTTAGAGCTCTTCCCAACCAGCGAGCTCAAGGCTTATCATTGGGGTACGGGACGTGCACCTCCCAAGGCCCCTGGGAGGGAGGGTGGGAGGCATCGCCACCCCCATTTTACAGGGGGGAAGCAAAGGTGGAGAGAGATTAAGTGACTCACAAAGGAGTGGCAGAGCCCAGAGAGCTCCGAGCCACTGCACTATGGAGGCAGTTTGAGAGACCGAGGACTGCCAGGTTCTACACTGGGAGAAAGGGGCGCAGTGCGAAGCCAGGCCAGAGGAGCACAACCGGAGCACACCGTGCGAGTGACTCTGAGGGCCAGGCATGGCACAATGACACGCTGTACACCGTCACCTCTACCAGTCAAACATAACCCCTCTGTCCTTAGGGTGTAACGAGTCCTCCTCCCCAGCTCCCGGCGTCTACGGGAAACGGACCGAGTCCTGGCAACGCCTGGGCAACTTATCTAACCTGGGAGCTTGCGGAGAGCCTCTGCCCAATAGGAGGCACTTGATGCAACGCGCTGCAAACATCTAGCTACAATATTACGAAGGGGTTATCCTCTCCAGCCCTCTCCGCCCACCACGCACCCCACCCAGGGAGTCGGGAAGGAGAGCTTCCTGCTCACCAGATGCTTTTAACACTTCGGCTCACTTCCAGACAGGTGGCTGGTGGAGGAACGGAAAGGAGCCCCATTTCTAACAGGGATCAATACAATTAAGCCAGGCGGGGCGGGGCAGCTGGAAAGGGAGCTGCAGGCCAACACTTGAGACACGACGGCAGCGGGAGCGTCTCTTACTTGTGGCAGAAGTGGTGAGCGCATTTCACCAGGAGGCTCATACAGTGCACGGCAGCGATCCCCATCACCAGCAAACTGAGCGGGCCCAGCTAGACAGCAAGAGAAGGGACGGTTACAACTAGACCGGCAAGGCTGGGTTTCCACAACAAGGGGTGGAGAGCCCAGGACACAAGCAGGATCTGCCTGCATTACAGAGCGGACCAAGGATCCCTTGAAACAAGACTGACCCAGCAGGATGCCACTCTGATGGTGGAATCAGAGCTGTGAGGGGGGAAAAGCCCCGTTTGCAAATGCTGGATGTTTCCTGTAGTACAGCACAGTCACAGGCGAGGAGCAACCCTGTGACTCGGGACAGGCGGAGAGCGGCAGAGCGAGTCCTGCTGGCGCCGGCTGATGCCTAAGTGCCTCAAGGAGCTTTCCAGAAGATCGATGCTACTTAAACCCTGCACGGACCAGCTCAGTAAGGAAGTCCAGGGGGAATCGGAACCGGTGGGGTTTGACTATCCCCAGCCTCCCTCGACAGGGAGCCCCAGGGAGATAGGAGAAGGCCAGCCTGCTCCCTCCAGAGACGCCGACTGTACGGCCTGTTCCAGATGCTGCTGAGACCTGTCCCTCTGGAGCAGGGCCTGAGGAGAATTTTAACCAGCAGGAAGGCTCAGAGGAACCCTGAAAGGCACCAGAGCACCGCACTGCCGCGGAACGCAACTCAGAGCCGGGTGCTTCTGGGCCAGCGTTCGCTCTGGCAGTATGACGTGGATGTGAGGAGGACGCAAGGTTTGGTCCTCTGTTCCAGATGCTGCTGAGACCTGTCCCTCTGGAGCAGGGCCTGAGGAGAATTTTAACCAGCAGGAAGGCTCAGAGGAACCCTGAAAGGCACCAGAGCACCGCACTGCCGCGGAACGCAACTCAGAGCCGGGTGCTTCTGGGCCAGCGTTCGCTCTGGCAGTATGACGTGGATGTGAGGAGGACGCAAGGTTTGGTCCTAGGTCTCGACTCACAGGCAGTGGCAACGCCGAAGAGCGGCGAGGAAACGGCCCGGCCTTACGCAACGTGTTTCCCAGCGCAGATAAGGGG